TTGTACCCTTAACACCTAGCAGGCCTTAGATTTTGCTAAAAAAAAATCGCACAATTAAGTTTCTACAGAGTGACTTTAAATCAATATGCATTGTGATGTGTTTTCTTCATTAAAATTCGCAAAATGTGAGCCAAGTTGTTACTTAAACAAGCAATTTATTAGTAATCGTTTTCTTCTTCTACATTCCTTGTTTACACAAATCATGACACGTGATTCCAATACAATCTAGGGTACACTATGAGCTGCCCTGTATACGAAACAGCTTCACGGTACCACATTCTTATCCCTGTACGGCAACAAGAGCGTCAAACTCCTCTGTCCATTCGAACACAACACCAAATAGTTGCTGATGTAATAATTAATCAGGGAATCGATGTCCTTGAAGCACTTCTCGTTGCTTTTCTCGTTCCCGAGGGCTATAAGGCCGTCCTGCCTCCGCCTTATGCTTAGGTGGTACACCCTGCTGTCCTGGATGACCGACAGCGTGCCCAGGGAATCCCTCGATGGTCTTATAATGAACGTACCGTTCTGTTTATTGTCCAGTAAATCTTCCGCCACTTCTCGGCTGATGCCTTTGTAGAACTCCTCTGTGGCGTCCCGCGCTAAGTCTGGAAAATAAGGAATTAAAGTGAAATTTTTCGGAAAATTGTGGGATACGGGAAAGTCATTTTCTCAAATGAAGCCTTTTATAACCCAGATATAAAAAATTGTTAAAAATAATAAATAAAATAGTTGATTTTTAATTATAAATAAAGAAAAATACATCAATATAATATTTTTTTATTATAGGTACTTTTGCGGTTCCAGAAAATCCCTTTCTTATTGTCATCAAATTAAAATTTAATTAGGTATATTACAAATTTTTATTTTTTAAAACTGAAAATAAAAAAAATTCAAAGAAAATAGATTTTTCTGGAAAATAAAAAAAGCTCATAATTATTTCATAATACACACTCGCAAACTTATAAAAATATATTTGATGCTTACAAATATTCAAACCCCGGACAACTATTTAAGATTTTCCAAAAATTTTCCGCAATTTTCTTTTCTCTAATTCAGGTTTATTATTTAAAAATGAATTGGCCATTCTTTTGGCTGCAAAACATTAATTTTTACACAATCTGTAACTCATTTAAAAAATATATGGGAAAACGAAATTTTCGTAGGAGCGATTTTGTAGGAAAAATTTTGAACTTATTGAAATATTTGAAACTTTTTTCGAATAATGCAT